CAGTGATGGCAGCACCAGGAAGACAGGGGTAACGGTGACAACAGCAGTGATGGCAGCACCAGGAAGACAGGGGTAACGGTGACAACAGCAGTGATGGCAGCACCAGGATCAGTAACAACAGTTCTAACACCAACACTAGCGGCACAGTCATCAACAGCAAAACTAACCAAAACTCTCAAGTTCATTGCTACCGGGTGGGAACAACTGCCAGCAGATGCTCCAGAAGCTGTTAGTCACATGGGAGGAGACTGCCCATTTTTCTCAGAGTTGCTGGTATATTTGAAACATCAAAGAGGCGCCACTTTTCTGTTGCCAGCACAACTCCCTATAAAGCACAGCAGCAGAGGTCCAGCAGTAACACAGCCACACCAGAAGTCAAGGGCAGCGACAGTAAAGGTCACAGTACCAGTGATCAATAGCAGAGTCAGGCATGATAGCAATACCAATCACCAATAGCAGCTGCAATGACAGGAGCAGACAGCCCTGACACACCTGGCCCTGGGTATAACCAGCCCTGGCACACCCGGCCCTGGGTATAACCAGCCCTGGCATTCCCTGCCCTGGGTATAACCAGCCCTGGCATTCCCTGCCCTGGGTATAACCAGCCCTGGCATTCCCTGCCCTGGGTACACTAGGTCTTGACATGCCCTGCCCTGGGTATAACCAGCCCTGGCACACCCTGCCCTGGACACATCTGACCCTAGCACACCTGGCCCTGCGTACACTTGGCCCTGGTATGCCCTTCTCTGGCACATACGGCCCTGGGTACATCAAGCCCTGGCACACTATGCCCTGGGTATACTCTGCTCAGGGCCCACCTGGCCCTGGCACACTGGCCCTTGGCACACCCAGCCCTGGCATACCCTGTCCCTGCCATGCCCTGCCCTGGGCACACCTAGACCTGGCATTTTCTTCCCTGGATATACCCTGCCCTGGTACACCCTGCCCTGGGCACACCAGGCCCTGGCACAAGCAGCTCTCGTTCGAGCCCCAAGCTCCACCCATCACTCTAACAGCTTCCTCTTCCTTTTTCTCATCACCTCCCAGAACAGCCCTGTTCTTTACTCATTTTACAGATGAAAAAACTGAGACCACAGCCAAGCTAGGGGGTGTCTGGTCTCACCTTGTCATCCAGCTTCTTGGCCCGAAAAGATAGCTCCACGTAGCCATCATTCCCTGAAATGTCCTCTGCTATCACCTGGGCAGAGTGGGATACAGCTCACAGCATCGCCAGGAAGCCTCTGGCCAGATGAGAGGTTCTAACCTGGCTAGAGGCTCCTCCCCCAGGGGGCCAGCACCAGGGGCCCATGCCTGGGAGTCCTCTCCCTGGCCGTAATCCAGCCTAAGAGAGCCCTCAGGGTCTTCATTCTGGGGTCTACAGCCTTCGAAGCTGGGGTGAAGGTCAGCAAAAAAGATGGGGCAGTAGGAGGTACACAGCCTGGGGCCTTGGGGTACGGGGACACTGGTGGCCTCACCGTGATGGTGGACTTGCCAGCGTTCCTGCCAGACTTGAGGAGCAGTGGCCGGGTCATCTTCCTCTGGGCTACAATCTGGAAGTCAGGAGACAGGCCAGGGGCAGGACTGAGACGTGATGGCGGCCCTGAGCCCTGGACTGCTGCTCGCCCTGGTCAGCCTCCCTCCTCCCTCCTCTCCCTGTCCCCAACACCTCACCTGGGCACATGCCCCCACCTCAGGCTTCCTCCCTGAGTTCTGCCCAAGGCCACATCCTTGGCTGACCCTTCCTGCTGCTTTCTGCCTGGATTCCACACCCCCAAGAAGGGGCTCAGTCCTCAGACACAGAAACCGACTGGGGAGGGTAGGATGGCTATGATGAGGGCACAGGGGCAGAGGTCCTTTCCTGCATCAGCACCCCGGTCCTCCAGGGCCCCCGGGCCTGCTGCCTGTCTCCCCGCTGGGTGAGCTGATCGGGACACAGCTGTCTACAGCACTGTCACCAGGTCATCAGGGTAGGACAGGCCATCAATATCTGGGCTGTTAGGAGAATCCCACAGTTTTGCCACAAAGTGCCCTGAACATGATGGGGGACAGTCTGGGCTCCCCCAACATTCCTCTCAGCCCTGCATCCCATCCTGCCTCACAAGGCCTGGGTGGACCCTGCTCCCTGCTTGCATGGGCGGGCATGCTCCCTAGCTCTCAGTCCTCTTATCTGTAAAATGGGGGGACAGAGGGAATGCTGGAGCCAGCTCCACACAGGCAGCACTGGGGTGAGTCACAGACATCATGTTGGTAAAAGAGGCCACCACTTACGAGAACATTCTGTGTGATTCACGGCTGTGGCAGCAAATCAGAGCCAGCCACGGGGTGGGGGGCTGGAAAGGGGGCTGCTGGGGGAGCTGGGGAAAGGATGAAGGCAGGAACTGGAGAGGGGGCTACTGGGAGGGAGCTGCTAGCATGGCTGGGGAGGGGGACTGATGAGAGGGCTGCTGGAAGGGGCTGGGGAGGAGGCTGGTGGTGCTGCTGGGAGAGCACAGCTCAAAGGGGTGCAGGGCCCAAGAAGGTGACAATCTACACCAGTGGGGACTGGCCATGTGTCCAGGCTTGTCTCAACTCAGGGTCTATGCATCTCACTGCCTGTGAATTAAACTGAGAGAAAGGGCTGGGGAAGAGCCCATTAGAGGATGAGGGGCAGCCACAGCCCAGGACACATAAAAAGGCACTGTAATTGGAGGCTCACAGAAGCTGTAATTACACTCAGAACAGGAAGAAGATATTAGCCAAGGGCGGAAAACCCAGTGTCCAGCAAGCAGAAGCTGGACAGATGAAGGACAGAACGCCACCCTGCACTGTGCCTTGTACTCAGGAGACCGTTCTGGCCAAGTAGGAGAGGGCTCCTTATGTAAATGAGAAAAACAGGTTGCACACCAATGGTTTGTGTTCAAAAACAGAAAAGTTGCAGGTGCGATTGCTCTAGTAGGTTGTGCTGGTCAGTGTCTCAGGAAGGGAAGTCTACTCAAGCACGTTGTGGGTGTGAGACAAGGGGAGTGTGGCTCGGGACGGGGCAAAGGGTGACATACCTTATGTTTCTCAGCTTATTAGCTGCGTGGAAGTATCACCCTACTCAAAATTAAACATTTAAATAAACAAGGATAGAGTTTCTGAGACAAAGAGCTCTGGAGGTGAAAGGCCCTGGTACCTCACAGCAGGGATTCCCACAGTGCCCGCACACCACAAGCGTTTAAGAAACTGTCACCCCCTCACCACTGGGCCACTCCCCCCAGCCGCTGCCCACCTGCCCCAAGGTGCACTCTGAGCCCCCTAGGAAGTCATCCTCGGGGCAGCTGAGGCCACTGGTTCCGTGGGTGTCATAGACCTCAAAGCGTAGCTTCTGCACCTCCTCAAAATAGTAGTCAAGTGTGAAGACCCGGGAGAAGACAGGATGCAGGCTGCTCCGGACAACCTCGGTCCTGTCCACCTGCAACCAGTGGCCAGAGCTGATGACCAAGGAAGGGTCTCCCCTCAAGGGAGGCACTTCCAGTCCTGAGTTCTCCTAGTCTTTGACTGTCCCTCAATCCTGCAGGAGGACTTGTTCTGTCCAGCCCTGCCTCCACCCCATAGGATATGGTCCCTCCTGGGCCCTGGGTGCCCGCTCTACAGTAAAGCCTGCCCCTGGCCAGCCTAGGCTGTGGCTTCCCTATGTCCCCTGTCCCCTCCACGCCTGACTCCACTGTTCTGGCTAGGGAGGCTGAAGCTGGGTCAAGAGTCAGGTCCACAGCACCCGGCCATTGCAGAGGGTCACAGGGAGAGCCTCCCAGGTGCAGGGACCCCTGGCTTACCCGGATGCATGATGCCTGTAACCCCACAAGAAAACCCGCAGGGGCACAGGTGATCAGAGCTGAGCACAAGGTGAGACGGCAGCCAGCAAAGTGGCTGGAAACAGGTGGGCTCCACCAGGCCCAATTGCTCCTGCTCACTTCAACCCTGCACCCCACCTGAGGCCCCCTACCACCCCCACTGAGGCCTCAAATGGATCTCCCTGCTATCTCCTCTTCGGACTTCTGCCCCACAGGGTCCCTGCACCCACCCCTGCCTGTCTAAAGCTGCCACTGCAGCCAGGGTCCCACATTGGAGGTCCAGCCTCAGGTTCAAGTCCCCCAACACCTGTGCTTCATTGTGCCCCTCTCTCCAGCTGGCCTTTGGGGTCCTGGGGTGGTGGGGCGGAGAGCAGGGTCCCCAGGATGTGAAGGTAAGATGTTTCACCAAGCCAGACGCTGCTGGGTCCCTGACATGGACCTTGCTCACATGCTTTCATTAGTGGGGTCTCCCTGGGGGTTGGGGAACCCACATTAGAGCCTCCAAGGGAAGAAAATGACAGAACAGGTGGGGGGCCCCTGAGCCCTGACAAGACAGCCCAGCAGCCCCCACTCCAAGGTCGCTCCCAGTCGCCTAGGGGGGTTGGGGTCTCCAGCTCTAGGCACTCTGCAGAAGACCCATAGACAGGCCTGGCGCTAGGGGTATGTCCTGGGGGCAAGGGTGGGCTCTACCCCAGCTCACCCCTCACATGCTCACCAATCATTGCGGCCCGTCCCTCCTCCCTGCTCCCCTCAGCTCTGTGGCCCAGCAAGTCTCCCGCTGTCCTTTGCTGCTAGGCACTGCACTGGGGCCCTGAACCCCAACACCTGTGGGGCGCCGGCCCTGGGGTTGCCACTCTCTCTACGGTGCTCCCCTGTCCCCCTCCCCGCGCCGCACTGACCAGTCCAGACCAGTCGCTAGCCCCAAGCCCAGCGCCGCAGCCGGGGCACACTCCCAGCTGGCGACCCTCTCCTGAGCCCAGCTGTAGCCCTGGGCGCCTGCGTGGTCCCCAGTCTCCAGCCCCGCGCCCTGTCCTGCCTCTGCCCCCGCCGCCCCTACTCCCTACCTGCTCCCACTGGCCCTGTGACTGCACCAGCAGCACCACGCTGGGGTCAGACTTGGTGAGCGGGTCTCGGTCCAGCAGGTGCCGGCAGCTGAGCCGCAGCTCCACCTTGGAGGCGCAGGGTGCGGGCACCACCCCCAGGGCCACGGCCGCCCCGCGCTCGGAGCGCGCGCTCATGCTGGTCGCCGGAGCTAGGCTGAAGGAGGAGCCCGCTCGGCGCTGGGGGACTACCGGCCGCCGGTCCGCGCCACCGCCGGGGAAATGGTGGTCCAGCCAGGCGTGGCCGCGCTCCAGGCACGCCCGCACACGTGGCTCCAGGCGGCCGCGGGGAGGTGGGGTGGAGAGGGGGACAGTGGAGGGGGCGGAGCAGAGGGGGGCCGTGGATTAGGAGCAGGAGTGAGTGGTCTGGGAGGGTCAGTCGAGAAGATTAGAGCCCCAGGCCCTCTGGAAGGGGCGGCTGAGGAAATGGGATCCCAGGGCCCCTGGGTTCAAATCTCCGCGTGACCGTGTGCTGGCCCCTCTCCAGGCCTAGATGTTTGGGGTCAGGGACCCGCAACTTTCCCGTCTGCGCGTCTCCCTCGGGTCTCTGGGACCAGAGTCTGTGTCCAGCTGTTGAGTGGCTGCCCCAAGTCTGATAAGGGGGTGTTCCTGCGGAGCCCTCACTGCGTAAGGCCACAGGGTCACTGGGGCCGGCTATGCACCAAATCTTCATGCACCCCAGATCTCTTTTACTCCACCTCTGGCTCTGCAGTATTCATTGATGGACCACCAAGCCACAGGTGGGCACCTACTGTGTGTACAGGACGGGTTTCCTTCTATCGTTCCTGGGGTCTTGGAGTCCCCCGTGTCGGGTGTGGTAGGTGGACCTCATTGTCAGCCTGGAGTTCAAAATAAGCCCTCGCTGGCCTTTGGGGGTTCCGGGCTCAGGGTCTCAGTGAACCCACCTGCTCAGTTAAGCCTCCACCAACAGGCTTCACTCTGTCTAGACCCTGGGTCCTGGCAGCAGAAGCAGCACGGAAAAGGAGGTATTGGCAGGGACAGAAAACCACCTCCCAGCTCATTTTCTTTGCCAATTTCTGCTTAAAAGTAGGACGCAAACCTACCTAGAAGCTTAGGAAGGAAAGGCGTGTAAGGGAGGCTTCAGCCCAAGGTGAAGCTGGCAGGAAAGAGACAAACCCAGGCTTCCGACTCAGGTTTAGCAACCAGGGCTCCAGAGAAGATCCTGGGGTCAGATAACTGCTAACCTGGGGACAGGTGCGTGACCCAGCTAGGAGCATAGCGCACCCTGGTGTTCATATGTGGGATCGCACCCTGAGTGGTCTTGAAGCGAAGTCCTGCTCCCTGCGAGCTGTCTCAGGGGGCGCTCAGTGAACCCCACAGTCTTCCTGCGTAGCCATCAGGAATTCCAAGGCATGAGGGCACCTCCTTTCCTATCTCTTCCAGTCCCTCGTAGAAACCAGCCCAGACCCAGAGACCTTCAGAAACCAGTTCACAGAGGTGAGCTCTCGCCCATGCTTCCTACTTGGCCCAGCTCCTTAGTCCACCAACCACCCGCTGGGCCAGGGGAACACATGGGCTCCCCATATGCAGGTCCAGGCATCCCAGAACCAGCTGCCGGGAACCTGTTCAGCGGCACCTGGCCTCTGTGAGCAACACGGGGACAATCGTGTGACATCCCTTTGAAGGGCCAGGTGGAGGTCCCTGGTGAGGCTGCTCTGGGGGTCTTCCCCATCAGGGCCCTGCAGCAGGCAGCCCTCAGGGACTTTTTCCAAAGGATGCTGTCCCTGAGCCTAGCTCTGTGGTGGACAGTTCATAGGCCCACCGCTCAGCAGTGTATCTTTATGTTCTGAGTTGATCCCCATAAGAGCCCACATGACAAGTCAGAACATCACCTGTCAGCCCGTCAGCCCCGTCAGCCGTGTGGCCGAGTGAGTCCTGACTCAGAGCCTGCAGGACCTGTACCCAGGTGATCTTGGTGGAAGCCCACTCTGCCTTGTCTCCGTTCTGAGTGGCTCAACCCAAGCCCACTGCTGAGTTGGTTCTGATTCACAGCAACTGGCCATCAGGGTTCTGAGGCTGTGAGTTTTTATAGCAGGAGATTGTCCATCTTTCTGTGGCCTAGTGGCCAGTGGATTTAAACCACCCCAGTTTTGGTCAGCAGCTCAGTACTGTGCACGTCACACCACCAGAGGTTCTGATGAGAACATAGAGGAGTTAAAGCCACGTGGCTGCTGGACTTGTTTCCTGTGGCTGTGGTACAGCAGCAGGAGGCTGTGCAACCAGGCTGTTCCCTGGAGGCAAGGATACCGAATGTGGTCTCACATATTGCAGGCCTGTTGTCAGGAGGGACCAGCTCTGGAAAAAGACTTCCTGCTGGGAAAGGTGGAAGGTCAGACAGAGGACTGACACAGTGATCATCAAGGCCTGGAGCACCTAAGTTCATGAGGATGACACAGGACAGGGCACAGCTCAGCTCTGTGGGTGACAGGGTCCCCGTGAGTTGAGGTCTACTTGACAGCCCCTAACAAGACAGCAGAGCTCTGTGCCTTAGCGCAGTCCTTCTTGCCCCGGTTCTGGTGGCTGGAAGGCCCAGGTGTGGGGAGGCTGAGCTCCTCCAGAGGTCCAGAGGGGGAAGCCATCCACACGGCTCTCCTGGCAAGGCTGCATATTCTTCTCCTTGCGGCCACACTGCACATCTCTATCTCTGTCTTCGTGCTCTGACACATGTCCCCATAAGCAGCCAACACAGGCAGCAGGTGGGTCTGCTGAAGGGTCTCTGCTCATGCAGACCCTGTAGGCTCTTTGAGGATGGAGTTTGGGAGCACCTGGACAACAGAGACAGTGCCCACCCAGGGAGTCAGGAGAGCTGGGACCCAAAGCCCATGTTCCACCCACCTGCTGATGCCTGCCAGTGTGCACAGCCTCAGAGAGGCTGGGCAGAGGGTCCTATCCTCACTGCAGCACAGACCACCCCAGACATGGGGGCTTGTAGCTCAGCTGTTCCAGCTCACTGTCCTCTAGGGGTTGTGGGTCAGGACTTTGGCCAGCCTCATCTGAGGTGTTCTCTCATTCCTCGTGGTGTGAACTTGGTCCTGGGCAAGGAGAGAGGACACAGATCTGCTGGGCCCTCTGCTTTCTGGGGAGGAATAAGGCCTGTCCTTGTGGACTCTACTGCTGGTGGTCAGTCACTCCAGGAAGCCCAAGCCAGAGCTTAAGGCTTCCTGGGACCTTGTGTTGGAAATTTAGATGCCACTTCCTCCACCTTCCAGGGTGCCAGCGAGTCCCTCCCAGAGGAGAATAGGTGGCCTTTCTAGGGAAGTGCTCAAAGGATCACAACTCTTGATCTAACTGGAGCCCTATTGCCATTTTATGGAAGAGAAAGTGAGGCTTGGAGAGGGATGGTCAGTCTCCTGGGAATGCAATCCGGACACACTGAGAAGCTGCAGAGAGCAAGAATACCTTCCGGGCAGGTCAGCGAGGGCCAGGCAAGGGCTCCCCAGGGCCCCTTCTCTACAGCTTATTGATTCATTCACTCACACATTGATCCGCTGATTGACTCTGCTATTCCCTCATGTACTGTTCATTCACTTGCCTGATTAATTCATTCATTGACAGATTTCTTTATTTGCCCACTTACTCACTCCCAGAACTACCTCAGAATTCAATGGACAATGGTGGAAGAGGCCAAGGACTCACACAGCTCCAGGCTGAGGGCCAAGCAGCACAAAGAGGATTGCACATGGGGACTGAGTTGTGTGGGTTTTGAAGTATGAGTAGAGGTTGAGAGGGCAGAGCCCTTGAAAGATGCAGTGACCCGAGAGCAAGTCAACATTCTCTAGACGTGAAGAAGTTTCAGAGAGGGACTTGGTGCATCTGGTGGCTCCTGAAATCTGAGGTCTGGAAGCACCTGAGACCATGATGGGGTTCATGAAAAAGATTAGAAGGGCTTAAGAGCCAAGACACCCAATGTTTAAAAATCACCCAAAGATTTAGAAGTGGCTCTCCAGAAACTACAGGCATCAGCCAGGTTCTGAAAGGACCATGCAGGGTTTTTAGTAAAACATTTAAAAGCAATTCACAAGCAGAATCAGCACACCTCACCAGCTCGCTCACTGTGTACCCAGCTCGGTCCTGTGGTATCACAATTTAATTTTATATTTATATAATATTATAAAATAATAATAATAATAACAATGATTATGATGATGATGATGTTGTTGTTATGTGCCATCGAGTCATTTGTACAAGAGCCCTAAATGCTGTTCTATCCTGTGCCAACCTTGCCATCTCAAACACACTCATTCCCACCACTCCACTCACAGAATCGATCCATCTCATCGAAAGTCTTCCTCTCCTGTGCCGTCCCTCCACTCTCCCCCCACAAAAAAAAACAAATAATAATAGCTTGTGGCCCAGAAACAAGTTTGAGGGATAAACAGCTTACCCTCTGTTCACGCGACAAGCCCACTGATGAAGACTTCAGTGGGTCCTTTAAAAGCTCTGGGCCTCAGAGACACAACTTCCAAACCCACTATATTTTCTTCTCTCTCTTCTTCGGTTGATGGGAATACCATCTGGTGTTTCCTGTGGGTTGTGTCTGGCGATGGTTTTTAGCTGGACTGGGCATCCTGGTTGTAACCTCACACCGGACCCCAACAGGTGGTCACAGGCCATGGTAGGGGTAGGAAACAAGGTCATTGAGGTGTAGTGAGAAGAGTCCATTCTGTAGTAGAACCCAAAACCCAGACCACTGCCCCCATTGGGTCACTTCTGACCAAGGGATACCCGTCCATCCCTCCCCTCCATTGGGTTTCCGAGGTTGAAGAGCTGAATGGAAGGAGACTGCTTTCTTTCTCCCATGGAGCAGCTAGTGGATTCCAATTCTGGCCTTTCCGTGAGCAGCTGAACACTTACTCTGCTGACTATACCTTGATAGGCTGGGCCCTAAACCCGATGCCTGATATCTTTATGGGAAGAGGAAAGGTCACTAGTGCAGAAGAAACACGGGCCATGTGAGCCCGGCTGCTGACCCCAGTGAGAGTGGACAAACTGATCAAGGGGTGAATTCTGGGGTCTAGCATCCCCCCAGCATCTTCAAGCCATCCTACCTAGGCCCGTCCTCCTGTTGTGCCCTTGGGGCCAGCTGCTGGCAGGGTGCAGGGGGCCCAGATAGGTGATAGGGGCATTCCCACAACCCACAGACTGAGGGACTGGTGGTGGAGGGGAGAGGAGTGGACAGCACCCTCCTGTACCACCTCCACCTGTCTGCACCTGAGGTTCTGCCTGTCCCATCCACAA